GTTTTATAAATTTGATTACGTATTATTCAGACACTGGCTCATTTCTCTTTGTCATTGGAATGTAATTCCTGAGGGCAGATATTTTTATCTATTTTGTTTGCTATTATATCTCTTGTCTAGAACAGTGGCTACCACACAATCATGTAATAGAAGTTCAATAAATAATGAATGAAGGAATATATCAGAGATGTCTTTAAATGTCAGTATTTGGAGAAGAAATTCATTTTTTAAAAGGCTACATAATATGAGGTGATTTATTTAACTACTCTATTGATGGGCATTTAGGTTGTTTTGAATTAAACTTATTACGAAAACAATGCAGTAAAATCCCCTTTACAAATGTTTGTCCAATAAAGGGGCTATTTCTGTATAAGAGTGTCACGATTAATTTACAAGTATCAGAAATTACTCTAACTAGTTAACCAGAAGTGAATTTAATCCAGGAAGGCCTGGAGGAGAAGACTCTAATTTGCCCTGAGCTTCCAGGAAAGTGTCCAGAACATCTCAAAGGTGGACCATTAAAAATGCACTTCTATTTCTGCCAAAATCAGAAAGTCTTTCTCTAAGTGCTCACCTGGGACTACCCTTTCTGTCAAGATCTAGAATCAGCTTTAGGACCACGCCACCGCAGATGAAATCCCTGCCAGCATAACAGATACTGTTCTCAAGGTTCATTTATGTTGTAGCAGGTGACAGGATTTCTTTCTTTTTTAAGACTGAGAGTATTTCATTGTATATGAATACCACATTTTCTTGATCCATTCTTCTCTTGATGGATATATTCAGGTTGTTTTTACCTCTTGGCTATTTTTAATAATGTTACAGTGAACATGGCTGTGCAGATATCTCTTCAAGTTCCTGTTTTCAATTCTTTTGGATAAATGCCCAGAAGTGGGATTGCTCAGTCATATGGTAGTTCTATTTTTAATTTTTTGAAGAACTTCCCTACTTTTTCCCATAGTAGCTGCATCATTTTACATACCCACCAACAGTGCACAAAAGTTCCAGTTTTTCCACATCCTCACCAATACTTATTTTCTGGTTGTTGTTGTTGTTGTTGTTGTTGTTTTGTAACGACCATCCTAACAGGTGATACCTCGTTGTGGTTTTGATTTGCCTTTCCCTGATGATTAGTGATGTTGAGCATCTTTTTCATCTACCTATTGGCCATTAAACAAACAGTATTTTTACACATATTCTTGAATATACATAGAATATTCGAGGAAGATAGTCACAGAACTGATTAACAATGATAACCCCCCACAAGAGACCTGGGTGAAGGGAGTGAAAGGGTGACTTTCTTTTCACTATATGTCCTTTCTGTTCCTTTTGAGGATTGTGCCAATTTCATTTATTATCTAATCAAATAAATAAGTTGCTTTAAAATGTTCCCCCTGGTGATTCTAAGGAGCTTGAGAACTGTTGTACATACTTGCATGCACACACCTTATTGATGCTGTTACTCATGTCACAAGTTCACCTATGCTGGTGTGCCCTTTGGTTTTTTAGAGGCATTCAACTTACAACAGTGTTCGGTCAGCCAGCAAAGGGGTGACTCAACGTTTGGATCTTCCAGACCTTCCCCTGTCAGGTAAATTACCTTAAATATGAAATATTTTAACTTTCTCTTGTGCGGTTAACTTTTTGTCTTTTTTATGCATGAAACTCAACTTAGAAAAATAATCAGTGGCATTTATTCCAAACATAGCACTTCCAATCATAGTTATGACCTCCAGGAAGAAGGAAATGGTGACCAAAGACCAGTGGTTGTCTAAGGTCAGGTGAATAAGAAACAAAGAAGGGGGTGAGTATGTCTATAGAGCAGGTCGTTATTCTTATGTAACTCAAGTGACCCTTTACTAGAAATGGAGGCTAAGTCAAAACAGAGTATTGAAAACCTGTCTGATTTATATTCTCCACACTTGCTACATAGTGTAAAGTGGAGAATAACTCGATTATATACTTAGTGCTGTGCATCTAGGTGAGCTTTTATTGTTGAGGTTGTAACATACCTAAGACATAAAATTTATTATCTTAACCATTTTCAAATGTAGTAGGTGAGCTTTTGGTCATAATATTTCTATCTTCTCTGTTCCTTCAGCTTTAAAAACTTTTGTGTAGAGAAACCATTCTTTTAATTGACAAAGTAAATACTGACACTGAAACCACAACAGTTATTGCCCTGAAGTAAATAGTTCATTGTCAACACCTCTTCTTTGCCCCACCAGGCACCTGTCTACCCTGGATGATACTATTTACCATACTGAAAAGGATTACACAGTGAAAATTGCTTGCTTTCAACCAACCTTGCCAACACTGAGGTCATTCAGAAGCTGCAGAAAGGGGATTAATTCACTGTTTTTGTTGTTCTCTTTAGTGATGTAAACACTGTTTTTCTCTGCTCT